TTTTTTTTTGAGGACATTAAAAGAGATTTCAAGTGATTTTCATTATTCTGTTTGTCACTTAAGAATTTATATCCTGGCGCTATAAGAATAAAAAGAATTTAAAATTTTTTTAAAAATGAAAATCAGAGGAATAAAATTGTTTCAGAAATGTTCACACAGAGATTGACATTTTTATTCAGATGAGGCTCTGAAACCTTTCTGAAAATCTAAAATCTCTGTGCTTTCAAATGGAATCTTTGAGTATCATTGGCTCTCAAAATGTTTCAGAATTTAGAATATTTTGAACTTTTGATTTTTGGGTTAGTTGTACTCTGTTGGTAAAGTTTTTGCACGTATTCTAAATTTGAAACACTCCTGATTCTGTACATACTACAGAAGAGATATTTGACCTGACGTGTCTTTCTTTTCTTCTATGTATGACTTTATAACGTCCAAAATTTAAATAAAATTGGGACATATAAATTCTGTATGACTTACAGCTTTGAATTTTATCTAAATTTAAAAACATTCATTTTTCCTTTGTATATGTAGCCCAAAATTGAAATATTTTGCTTTTACAGGACAGCGGAGTTTTCTCAGCTTGTTAATAACATGAATTCTTGATCAGAATCATTATAGTCTTTTTTTTTGTTGTTTAGGTGACATTAAAACACGAGTATCATTCAGAAGGTTTGTGCCAGTTTCAACCAGCCAACAAACTGTCCATTTCTAACTCGTCCTAGTCTTTATGAAATGCTTGAGGCAAATTCAGTTAATGGCAGCATGAAGGGTATAGGAGATGTGAATGGACACAAAGAAAGCGTGTGTTAGTGTGGTTGCTAGTAATGGAAAGGTGTCCGGAGGAGCAAAGGATGCCCAGGGACTGACTGCACATTAGAACTAACGAGTAACGATGGTTTGCTTCTGAGAAATGGAAATGATTGGCGTGGTCAGAGGAATTTATTTTTAAAAACTTAATTTTATTTTAGACTGGTAGAATTCCAAGAGATGGTAAGATTAATTGGAGAATTAAAGATTTGGAGCATGAAACTCAAGGGCTGCAGGCATATTTTGGACTCCCTGTAGTTGAGGTGTTGGCAAGATGTAAGAACAGCCCTAGTTGTCAGAGACTACAGAGGGAGGAGGGTGTCTGGCTTATGGAATGAATAGAAGGTAGAAACTGGATATGAAATGAAAGTAATAAGGATCTTTTATTAACTGTAGGAGTAGGCTAGTTACAGAGGAAAAAGGAACAAAAGTGATGTGCAGGAGGAGAATAAGCCCAAAGGAAAACATTTCATTTTGAAGGTGCGGGGGATGTTGCTATTGGAGGGAGGTCCTGTTGCCAGCATGGGAGAAGAGCTCAGGAAAACCCCCACGGAAGGACAGATGGCCTCTGCCAGAGAGCAACATCAAAGAGGAAAATGAAACCCTGGTGCTTTCCTTTTAAACTTGCCTTTGCCCTGAGCCATTTGGAGCTTTGGATGTACATTTCCTAGTGCTCTTTCGTGGTTATTTAACTGTTCAGAGGATTAAATCTTTCATATAAGAAAAAATTTCAAGATATCTAAACTATTTTGAGGTAATACTTTAAAACTAGTCCTGCTTGAGAATTCGTTTTACCGTTTTGCTATGTAACAGATTTACATATTATATAAAATAGAACGGCCTTACGTTCTTATAGACTTATAAAACATGTGCATTAACCAAGCTAACCTGTAGCTTTTGATCAGAGTGGAGTAAACTCTTGAGTGTAGTAGAAAGCTTGGGGTTTGTTTTGATTTTAGTGTCATCTGTGAATGTCTGCATAGCTGTGTTTTCTTGGTCCTCTGAAGGAACATGCAGAAGCTAGAGCTGATCCTTGCTGTGACGTGAGGTTGCATTCTTCTCATTACTGTCACCATTGTCATTGCCTTCCTTTGGTGGAGTTGAGGTTCTAGAATTTGAATTTTCTGGGATTTGTTAGGTACATTTTTTTCTCGAAATATACTTTTCTAAGAAATAAGTTATTTTTTTCCTAGTACACATTTAAGAGATTTTTTAAAGCAATAATGAAAGTTTTATCTTTTATATTAAAAACATTTCACATTTCAACCTTTATTCTTGCCTGTAATTGCTTAGTCTTTTATTATTATTATATGAATATAATGTTTCTTTAACCTTATCTTAAATTCTTGACATTCTTTCTTCTGCCCAGTCAGTACATTGGCAATGCTCTCCATGGAGTTATGTTTGATTTTATACTGGCCTTTTTATCTCTTAAGTTTTTCTTTTAGAGTTCATATCTCCTTTCTGATTTCTTGTCCCTGCTGTTAAATTTCTACCCAGATCTTTAACTTATTTTTGTACTCTATCATTTGTTTATTTGAATCCTCATTGAGGTTGATGCTCATTCTACAAATTAGGTTTGAATTCTTAAGCATCCCATCCATTCCAATATAGCAACTGCATTCAAATAAACCAGATATAGAAATACAGTTAAAGTAAGATAAAACAAGCTGCTTCGTCATTATAGGTGGTTGTGAGCTGTCATGTTGGTATTGGGAATTGAACCCAGGTCCTCTGAAAGAGCAGCAGTACTGTTAATTGATGAGCTGTCTCTACTGTACCAATAAATACTGTCAATGGGGTTCTAGAATGTGTTTAAGAATTTTCTTTTATAAGTGGAGGAACCTTAACAGCCAATGGCAGTTATTATCATAGTACAAATTAGTAGGAACGCTGATTCCTTTTCCTGTTTTCTGTGGATAGATGTGTGCATGGGGGAAATTTCTATGCTGACAGTGTTAAAAGCTTCCACTACATGAAGGTTTTGGATTGCAGCACTAAAATAATGGTTATTACTGTTAGTTTAAAAGAAAAATAACTTTTTTAGGAAGATAAATTTTCATTTTAAAATGTCTTAGTTACTCTTACATTGGGATTGAACTGATAATATTTGAGACCATTCATTTGGATTCTTGTTGTCTTTTTCCTGTTTTCTCCCATTTCTTCAGGCTTTTCCTCTGTCCTTTATGTGCCCTCCAGCAATCTCACAGAAGGGACCAAGACATGCCTGGTATTGGTTCATAGAGTTCTTTGAGCTGGGGTAGTGTTCCCTAAGGACCATGTCAGTTCCGTTACTTATTGCAATTTTATTTGGGCAATCTGCTATTTTTCTTTTTAATTAGGTTAGAAATCTGTTTCTATCTTATGACTGAACTTTGGGGAGAAATCAAGTTGAACATGTTGCTATATTAGACTTCTCTTTTTCCTGGATGTTCCCTGAATGAATAAATATATCAGATTTTGTGAAGTCATTTTGTAGAAGTCATCTTACTGAGAATTCTAGAGGCTTTTATGCAAAAATCTAACATTTTGTTAAGATAAAGTCTCTGAAAGTTTAAAACTGTCTGGAAAAATGTGCTCACAATATTAAGATAATTTCTATGTAGAAAAATATGAATGATTGTTTTTTTAAACATGTTCTTTAAGTTTCATATTAAATATTTATTACTCATAAAAGCAGACACAGCCATAAAAATATTTATAGTATTTTCCCAAGCTTGCATTTGGGAAGTGAAACTATATTCAGAGTTTTATCTGAGAAATTAACATTAATTTCTTTTAAAAATGAGTATAAACTTCTGTTTCACGCCACAGTGAAATAACCTTGCAGCCTGGCTCCTGTAACTGAATGCCCTGGGCAGACTGTAGAGAGCAGCCACCTGGGGATGCTGAAAATGCAAACAAAGCAGGCTGACAGAGAGGAGCACAGGAGGGGCCAACACAGCAAGAGAAGGGTTCCTAGGTGCCTGTCTGCATATTTATTTTTCTTCTTTGGCTCCTGGGTAGGCAAAATTGGGGAATTTTGTGGCAGGCTTGGATGGCAAAAATCTACAGAGGAATCCATCTTTTTGGCTACAGGTCTAGAAAACAGATAGGGAAAACCAGTAACAATGCTTCCTTCCTCCCCTTCTTCTTCCTCCATTCCTTTCTTTTCCTTGTCCTATCCCTCATCCAGACCAACTTAAAACAGTGTTGTGTCGCAGTGGCAGCAGATTGGGCCTGTCTGTCAGTATAAACCTGGGGAAGGTCTCTGTTACACAAAGAATACATGTATTTCCCTCATATTTTCTCTCATGACTGGGGTCTGAGAGTGCTAGTCAATGGTATGATATTCTTGGTGACAAAAACTTTGATGGAGCTCAGCATTCTGTCCTGTGGGACTGAGAAAGAAATGCTTAGTAGACAATGCATCCACTCCTGATGAGACCTAATAGACTAGGGTCAGAAGGAAGGAAAAGAAGACCTCCCGTATCAGTGGACTTGGGGAGAGGCATGCAAGCAGAAGGGGAAGGAAGGGAGGGATTTGGAAGGGGAGGGGGAAGGGAACTACAGGGGGGATACAAAGTGAATAAAGTGTAATTAATAAAGAATTAAAAAAATGCTTAGTGCTAATGTGTAGGGTGTCTGGGAAGGAGCAGAGAAGAGAATTCTTTGTATATAACAGCATAAGCCTTGGTCTTAGTCCAAGGTATCTTTATTAGGAATACGCTCATAAATATCATAGTGAGTGCAACGGATGGACATCAGAAGAGGGAGAAAACAGGGAACAGGACAGAGGCCTACCACAGAGGACCTCTGAAAGACTCTACCCAGCAAGGTATCAAAGCAGATGCTGAGAATCATAGCCAAACTTTGGGCAGAGTGCAGGGAATCTTATGAAAGAAGGGGGAGATAGAAAGACCTGGAGGGGCCCGGAACACCACAAGGAGAGCGACAGAACCAAAAACTCTGGGCCCAGAGGTCTTTTCTGAGATGGATACTCCAACCTAGGACTATGCATGGAGATAACCTAGAACCCCTGCACAGATGTAGCCCATGGCAGCTCAGTCTCCAAGTGTGTTCCCTGGTAATGGGAACAGGGACTGTCTCTGACATGAACTCAGTGGCTGGCTCTTTGATCACCTCCCCTTGATGGGGGAGCAGCCTTACCAGGCCACAGAGGAAGATCAGTCCTGATAAGACCTAATAGGTTAGGGTCAGAGGGAAGGGGAGGAGGATCTCCCCTACCAGTGGACTTAGGAAGGGGTATGGGAGGAGATGAGGGAGGGAGGGTGGGATTTGGAGGGAATGGGGGAGGGGGTTACAGCTGGGATACAGAGTAAACAAACTGTAATTAATAAAGAAATAAATAAATTTAAAAATAATCTAAAAATAAAAATAAGGTCCCTTATAAAAATATTGTAGAAATTATAAGAAATATTGTAGAGACTTGAATCATGATGCAAACCATTGCTCTAGTCCTGGATGATCCCTCCATGATAACTTTGTACTGATATGGACAATAGAACTGACATCATAACTGTTTTCTACAGAAGGGATGATGGAACTTGTAAGTGCCTCTAAAATCTGCCAGTTGTCCACTGAGAAACAAACCATCCTCATGTACATGTTATAGTCCTACAGCCTGACTGTAATGATGATAATTACAACCCCTCAGATGAAATCAGACTAGAAATCAATAAAAGAAATGAAGTGGACTAGGGCTGCTGATTGGCTAGAGCTCTTGACTAGCATCCATGTATCTTGCTTGGAAATTGAGAGAGAGGACTGCTGTCTTCTTGGGCACAAATCATTGTAGTTATCAGCAAAGCATAAAACTGGGTATGGTAGTGCATGCTTACAGTTCCAGCACTCCAGAGGTGAAGGCTGGAGGATTAAGAGTTCAAGGTCATCCTAGATCTTGTCATCCTGTATTACAGAAGTCAGCCTGTGCTATACTGTACTATGTTTAAAAAACAATAGCATATTTGGAAATTCCACAAATATTTGGAATTTAAACAGTTTGGCATACTTTTGAACAATCCAAAAGTAATTAGAAAATATTTTAACTTAATTAAAAGTGACAACAGAATTTGTGGGATCTAGCTAAAGTAGATAATCATAGAAATTTTACATCATAGAATACTTAGGGCAGAAAAGAAGGTAGAGGAGTCTTATCCCTTGAATTAGCAATATTATGAGCTGTACAGACCTGCTCTCTAGCTAAGCAAACACAATTGACAAAAAATATTAAGAATATCTGGAAATCATCCTAAGGACACAGAACAAATGATTACACACTTATTCAAGAAAACCAATTATAGTTGTTAAGAACAGCAAAACTTGGTGGCACTTGGGCCATGACTTAATTTCATTCATCCTTGCCCCTCTAGCTTAGCTTTATGGAAATACCATCCTCACTGGGTTTGACCAAGAAGATGGAAGTTCTCTCTCTTCCCAATTTTCAATCAGGAGATACCGTATGTCCTAGAGAATGGCATGCTGTCAGAATTTCATAGCCCTTTGAAGTCTGAGTTAAAAGGGTAAGCTCTAGTAAATGCAGCTGAGTGATGGGGTATGGACTGCCTTTCTTCAGTCAGCCTCCATTTACAGAACAGAGCCTCCCATTCATAGGCAGATTTCACATCAAGGGTGGCAAGCCAAGAAGATCAGAGGTTCTGTATCTGCACAGTGCCTGTACAATGGTACCAGGCGGTCCAGAGCAGTGAGATCAGTTCTCACCAAGGACTCCATGGACTGGAAACAGTGTGGAGAAGATCAACCTACGTAGACTCAAGAAAACAATGGAGGTTTTTATGGTAAACTGAACTAGATATACAGTTTAACACAAACAGAGAATGGACAACACCTAGACATTCTGCTAAAATAGCCATCCAAAGATGATTATGTGCATGGCCAAGATTGTACCTACTGAAGAGTGACACCAAGTCTTTACATTGTGAAGGAAACAAACTGTACAGAAATAGTCTGATCAAGCTATTAACTAATTAAAAAGCTAAGTAACAATTGCTTCTGAACAGAGGAATCAGCATCTGTGATTGTTATATTGTGAAATGCATAGTTCTCAAGAAAACATACAAGATATGCAAAGAGATAACTCATAATACCTAGTGACGTTTAAGTAAAGCTAGACACAATTTTTTATGTGTAGACACATTACAGTAAAAATATTGAAGGAAAGAATCATGAAAGCAGCAAGAGAGAAAAGAACAAGGTACTAAGTCATTAAATTGTCTAAAGAAGCTGAAGAGGACAAGTTAACCCAAAGCAAGCAGATGGAGGGAATAGTAAGGTTTAAAATAGAAACATGAAGTTGGACACAGAAAAGCATTAGAAAAAAAATAAATGAAACTAACAGCTGGATCTTTAAGTGACAAATAAACTCAACAGACTGACTAAGAAAAAATCACCCTTGTTAATACTAGTCCTAAAAGAAGAGAGACTACAGAACCTACAGTTTCCAAAGTCAAATAAGGAATTACCACAGATCACCCTGTGTGCATAAATTTGACTGTAGATAAAAGGAACAGAGTCCTTCAGCAACCCAAACTCACTAAAAAGAGAAATCTGAATAGTTCTGCAACTCATAAATACAGTGAACTTGTAAGTAGCAATCTCCCACTAGAGAAACTCCAGCCATAGATGGTTTATTTGATGTATCTAATAAAGCAGTTAAGGCAGAAGTAATAACTGTCACAATCTGTTCAACACAAAGAAGAATCACCTCCCAAATTACATTGTGTGGCCAGTGTTAGTCTCAAAACTAGACAACATAAGAAATAATCCGGAGACCTCATATTTAACAGACTTTTATTCAGATGAATGGAGGATACTTGCTAAAGAAACCTAACCAGAAAGAAAGGCAAACGAGGCTACAAAAATGTACAACTGGGTATCTGTTAAATTGTTTCAGCAAACAGTTGACAGTGTGCCAAGTTGCTGGTGAGGTTGAGGAGCACCTGGAACACGCTCTTTCTACTGAGAGTGCAAAAGAATACATTTTAAAGCTGGGCAATTTTCAAAGACGTAAAACATTTATGATATAATCCAGGAATCTTACACTAAAGGTTCATTTAAGTAAGATGAATATGTATGCTCAACCCAAACCTGCATGCAATTGTTTGTAAAAGCACCACTTCTCTTTATTTTATAATTGAATAAAATGAAAATAGATCCAAATGTCTCAAAGTGGAGAATGGATGAAGGGATGGTATATACATACATGCAATGGAATTTTCTTCAGTGATACAAAGAACTGATATTAGGCCATACAAAAAGATGGATGAATTTTAGAAACTATGCAGAATGAAAGATGCTAGAGTAATTTCTCTTCAGAGACTGAGAACGCTATGTTAATTGGATTTGTATGGCAGACACAAAGATACTGTTACTAGACTACAGACAAGAACAATACTTTGTAGATTGTAAAGGCTGAAGAACATTTTGACTTCAAGTATTTACAAACCTTTAAAATGTGTGAACTGTTGGGGTTTTAAACTACTGATTATACCTGGTTGGTTTTGTTTTTGTTTTGACTTAAACAAGAGTTATGGAAGAAGAACTCTCAGTTCAAAGCATGCCCTCATTGACTGGCTGATTCCTGAGTGATGTGGGAGGGCCTCGCCCTCTGAGGGCAGTGCCTTCCTTGGGCAGGTGGTTCTGGGTTGTATAAGAATGCTGGCTGAGCCAACCATGGCGAGCAGGCCAGTAAGCTCCATGGTCTCTTCATCAGTTCCTGCATCCATATCCTGCCTCGAGTGCTGCCCCGACTTTCTTCAGAATGGGCTACGACTGTTGGGGCAAACAACTCTTTCCTCCTCAGGTTGGTTTTGGTCGTGGTGTTGGTCACAGCAGTAACGGCAGACTCAGACGGTACCACTGAATGAATTTGCTTCATAAAATTTAAGGAAATGTTTTCTGAAGCTTATAATGAGTAGTCTGCCATGAAGTATTCTCTTCTCTTTTTATTATTCGAAGAAAAACAAAATAAATCATTTGTGTTCTTGATCTACACATGCACTTTGCATTTTTTTTAATTTTTTTATTTTATTTATTTATTTTTTTTTACTGTGCTTGAACAACCTGGAAGCCTTTCAGAAAAGCTAATTTTGTTCATGCAGATAGAATTTTTCCTTTTAAAATTCACAACTGAGTTTCCTTTTGAAAGAAGTTAAGAAATAGCCAAGCATATAAGCCAACAAGTAATCCTAGCATTTGTGAAACTGAGGCAGGAGGATTGCCACGAGCTTGAAGCTAGCTCAGGCTATAGAATAACCCTGCCTTAAACAAAACAAGGGCTGTTAAGATGACTTTGTGGGTAAGGGCATGTGCCAAGCCTTGTGTCCTGAGTTTAATTCCCAGAACTCTCAAAATGGAAAGAGAGAACCAACCCTCTGATTTACACACACATGCGCGCGCGCGCACACACACACACACACACACACATGCATACACACACACACACAGAGTAGTGTGTGCATACACAGAGGATTCAGCTTTCAACATCAAGGCAACTGTACCTCAAGGTCATATCTTACTGATATTTTAGAGCTCAGTGTTTGGGGCCAGTGAGATGGCTCAGTGGGTAAAGGTGTCTGCTGCCAAACCTGACAGTGTGAGTTCAGTCCCTGGGACCCACATGGCAGGAGGAGAGAACTAACTCCCACAAGTTGTTCTGTGACCTCCACTAGCACACGCACATGCACACACACACACACACACACACACACACACACACACACACACAGAGCCATGCATGTATGAAAGGGTTTGTGCACATACACACACTCCACAAATAAAGATTATTTTTAAGAACCCCCTTTATTTATAGTCAATAAATAAAGTTAAAAAAAGAAAACTAGTTTTGAGATTGGAGAAATTACCATAGAAATTACTGTTTTGTCTTAAAAAGAGATGACAGTTTTTAAAAATGAGAAGAAATATGGTTATAGAACAGAGGCCAAGGAAAAGAATTTTTGTGTGAACTTGTTTTTATATAGTCATGTATTATTTATAAAGTTGATCTGATTATGAAGTAGATGTACTTTCAATATATAACTAAATAAAACTAGAAACTACCATTCAAGAGAGTGGTTTTCTTTTTATATTTTAACTAAAAATAAAAATGAAAAATATTAATATCAAATAGCTCTGTGTAAAAGTGGTAATCAAAACCAAAGGTAAGCATTGAAGAATAATGGTGAATATTGATAAAAAGTTCTGTGCTGTGTCCAAAGTGAAACTGAGAATCAAAGATTCACTAATGATGCCATAGTTAACCTCAAGAATAAAAACGAAATCAAACAACAGCAATAAAACAACAGCTAGCCAGGTTAAAACAAAACCAAAAAAATGAACCATCAGCCCATTGGAACCAATGGATAAAATATTCTTTTCCTGTTGTGCTGAGGTGTAATTTGTTTCACAAGCAGCAGACAGAAGCATTTCCTGCATGTGTTCTGTTCGTTTGATGTTTTTTCCCCTCTTTTTTGTGCCAGTAGATGGAGGGCTTGTATATGTATGTTGCTTAAGCCTGTTAGATGATTGATTTTTGAAATACTTTGAGTAAACTAGTGAATAAGTCTTTACATATAGTATTATTTCTGTAGAAAAATATTGTTCTTAAAATTACTCTGTGTGTGTGTGCGTGCGTGCACATGTGTGTGTTCTTTCCTGCCATGTGGGTCCCAGGGACTGAACTCACACTGTCAGGTTTGGCAGCAGACACCATTACCCACTGAGCCATCTCACTGGCCCCAAACACTGAGCTCTAAAATATCAATAAGATAGAATCTTGAGGCACAGTTGGCTTGATGTTGAAAGCTAAATCCCCTCCCTTCATCCCTATGGAGAGGGATATATTGTAATTTAAAATTTTTATTTTAGTGGCGTTACTGGTAATATAAGGGTTTGATAATGTGTTTCCCTTTAAAGTTTATATATCTGTTAAAGTGCTTTTTAACTTTTCTGAAAACAAACTTCTCTAACTGACTAATAGTCTATCAGAAGGTATTTGCTTATGGCAATATAGCCAAAGCCTGAATAATTTGAAAATATGAGCCAACAAAAAACAATTAATTAGTAATCCAGTGCGCCTGCTAAAAAGCTAAACAAAATAAAACATCAAAAGCTAGTTTTCATTAGAGAACATTTAGATATCTGTATTACTGCCTGGTTAAATTATCATTTATTTTATTGTTGCTGTTCTGTTTGCTTCTGAAGCACATGTGCACATGCCTGTTGGTCTCCTGCCGCTGGAGTCCAGTGGTATGGGGCCTTCCTTCTGTGTATTTTCATCTACACCAGTGTCTCACAGGGGTCTGTTGGAGCTTCCATGCCAGACCTCCTTTTTTGGGGCATTCGTTCTTGATGGATTTTGAGAGAAGAAGAGGTTTTCTGAAGGAGCATGAAAGAAGTCAGCCTTAAGACTGTTTACAGATTGCTCCATCCAAGTCCATGCTGCCTGTGGCTTACAAAGTGGGACAGTCAACTTCAAAGCACATCAGGCTGTTGTTACCAAATCAGAAAATAGATTGCTTGTTTTCCTTAGATAGACTCAAGAACATGCTTTTCTTCGAGTATTTCCCAAGCTCACTGTATTATAAATGAATAAGAACTACAGAATATTATTACCAGTTTTCAGTTTTTTTAATGAATTGGGATAGACATTTCTCTTTACCAGTTTGAAAAAAATAATTTATAATAATAGAAGTCCTTAACTTTTTTATTTAATGCTTTTAAAGATGAAGAGGTGGAATAAGACTTACTTCTGTTTAGTTGAAATGTTGCATTGTAATTAACTAAACCAATATTTTGTGTCCTACTTATAAATGTAGAGCTAGGCAAAAATAAGTCACAGATGGGTTCCGTGGCTTTTGGTTTTAAATCTAAACTTAATTAGAGCTTGAGCGTCTTTGAGAATTATTTTTTCTCTTCTTGTTTCCCCTTGTACTTAATTTTTCTGAGGTAGAGTTGGGTATATGTGTTGGTTTGTGTGTGCCTTTGAAGGACTCACTTTCTGTGTTTCCCCAGATACAGAATGCCAACTTCCTTTCCACACATGCACTTTCAGACAACAGGTATTCATTGAGTGCTTTGGTGCTTCCTAGAAGGTTGTGCCTATTCTTACAGAGCTGTGCATGTTCAGTAGAGCAGTCTTCTCTGGCCCAGTGCTTCAGCAACTCTTCCTACCTTAACAGTGAATGCACTGTTGCGACCCACCTATCCGCTGGCAATGCTTCCGGTCGTGAGAGGGAAGTGAGACTTCGAAAGCCAGTCTGCAGTGTTTGCCAAACATACAGTCATTGTGGCTTTGTCCTTTTTGCTAATTCTCTCGAGGTTTTGAGATCTTTGTCTACTTTCACATGGATCTTGGAATTACCATTCACTTTCTCTTCATTCTGATGTAGGCACTGCTACTAGGCATTTTTCTTTGGTTCCAGTATTGGTCCATGTTGGGGATGAGGAGAGGAATTTAAATTTAGGTGGTTGCTAGCACCTTAGGGATCTAAGTCTCTAGGTGAAGAGACCGTTGTGTATACTTTCCCGTTCCGGGCACTAAAATGCACGTATTCTTCAGATTCTGTCTGCTATTGTACTAGATTCTTTGCTATTTAAAATTTTGTTTTTAAGTGTATTCCCTTTGTTTTCTTTAATTGATTATTTATCATTGTCTTTTATGTCAAACTGAGTGTAGATATCTTCACAATTATATAAAATTTAGCTCTTTGAAAACCAGCTAGGGGGTTGAAAGATTGAATTTAATGAGACATATGTGAAGAAGCTTGTCACTTAATCCTAATTGAGTACTTCAAGGTAAGAACCTCTTTCGTTGGTTAGAGTCATAATGTTTTTGTTCATTTTATGGTTATTGGTGTAGTAAATTGAGTTTATGATGTGAAGAAATTAGACTTTTCTGGTAATGATTTTTAATTTTATTTTATTTGTAAATGAAATAGTATTGAAATCAAAGAATTTTAGCATAAAGCAATTCAAGAAATACTTTATTGAAACACATTAAGTATGTGCTAGGTGTATGTGGAAACACGCTGCTGAACACTTAAGGTATTATGTAATGGTCATGAAAGCGAACCCAGGACGCTTTAGGAGCTGGTGAGAAGTGGGACCAAATGTAGCCCCTTCTCTCCCTCCTCTTGCCTCTTATCCCTGGAAGCTGGGGATAAGTCCGGGAGCCAGAGGCAGGCGGATGGATGGGAGTTTGAGGCCAGCCCGGTCTACAAAGTGAGTCCAGCACAGAAAAGGCTACACAGAGAAACCCTGTCTTGAAAAAAATATTCAGGACACTGGAGTAGGTGTTAGGAATAGAAAGGGGAACGTGGAAACAGTCTTTGTTTTAGGATCCACATTTTCTTTTTTCTTTCTTTTTTGAGAAATTGGATTCTAGGTCATGAAAAGAGGTGAAGATGGAGGTGGCACTATGTTGGTAGGACTTAGTTCTTCTGGGGACCTCATTCTGAGTCAGTGACTTTTGAAGAAGGTGGTGAAATGATTGCAGCTTGTAGGAGGTAGTGCTTTACAGGCTGAAACAAGCTGTTGGCTGTCTCTGGAGTGGGGAGTAAGTTGGGGATAGTTAAGCTGATAGATTTAGGGAGACTCTCACAGGGATTTCATGTCCTCCTCTATGCTATTAGTTGTAGTTAAAGAGTCATGTCTCTAGGATATCTAGGGTATAGTGACTAAATTGAGAGTTAAAGAACGAATACATATATGCTTAGAAGGTTTGGGTCAAACTAACAGGCAGAGGGGCACAAGTTCCGGTAATGTAAGTCATTCACGGTTTGGGAAATGTGGAATTTGAGGTAAAGAGGATTAAATGAGACCAGACTTTTAGGTGGAGGACACATAGGTGCATTTAGACACTGAAAGGAATTTATTTTTAATATTTTGTTGGTGCTTTACTGAAATGTGTATATAATACTGTGTAAAATAAAGTAAACAATAAAATATACAAAAGGCATTTTCACATAGAAAAATTGTATTTCATTCAAACAACTCCAGAATTAATGTCTTTATTGTAATTTTTCAGATTGAAAATCCTCGGTACCTGAGACAGAAGCCTCTCCCAGTTTCCCTGGTAGGTAATGATTCTATTGGGCTTTTTCTAGGGACAGGTATCTTTAAATAAAATATGAAGTTTTAAAAATATAAAATATTATAGGCCCATATTAGGGAGCATAATAGTCATTTTAATCCTGCTGCTTAGAAGTGAGTAAATCATGTTTTTCTCCAAAGCTAACATTATTTTAAAATGAGTTTTAGATACTTTATTAGTTTATCTTGAAAGAGTTGATAAACTAGTGCTGGGAAGTTTTAAATAACTCTTACTGGTTGGTTCTGCAGATGACCCCAAAGGTCACCCTGAGGAAGTCTAGCAGTCTTCACGATGATCATTTTCTCTCTCGAATGCACCAGAAAGAGGTAGGAGTATGCTGTTTCGCACATGCCTACTAGTTAACACAGTTGATATCATGTAGTAGGTCTTTTCAGCTCTGCGTGGATGTGGTGCGCAGGAGAAGGAGGTTAGTTATCTGGGCTCAAAACTGGGTCCTGCTGCAGACCAGGCTGGGTTCCTAGTTAAAGATGTTAATGTGTATCTCCCGTCTTGCGCTCCCCAGCTCCACTCCACTGGCAGGCAGGGGTGTGTTGCAGGATTCTTTCCAATTCTGATGGTCAGGAGATAGAGGTAATGGCAGTTTTTAGAAGGAGGGTGTCTGACCTCAGTGAATCCATGCACCCTCTCTATGTGCTTACGTGTATTTTATCTTTTTATCTCACCATTCTTACTCTTTTATTGTTCTTATAGCCTTACTCGTCACAATCATCTGCCTAATTGATCTTCAGTGTAGCTGATACATAGTATAATATGATTTTTGTGATAAGAGTATTTGAGGTTCATTCTCAGTGATATTGAAATGTATGGCATTCAGTGTTAGCTCTACCACCATTCTGTGAATCCAAGTAAAAATAAAGGCCAACATTTCTATCTAACTGAGCCTTTGTGTCTTTTGATTATATTTATCCCAGGATCATATGGCTACCAGTCCAGTCTGTTTCTACAATTCAGAATGTTTGTACCTTTTCACAAATTCCTTCTGATAGCCATATTATAAAACAATGTGACAGGGAGTATCGTCCAGCAAATTTATGTTGTTGGTTCTTTCTTGTAATCTGAGAAAAAGTTTCTGATGTGGACCAAGACATTTGGAAACAGGTTGTACTTGAAAATAAGAGACAATAAAAAGTGAAGATAAGCTTTTAGGTCAGTCATCAGTTTCCAGAGAATATATGGTAGAAAGTGCTGTTTTTCTTTTTTTAAACAACACATTTATTTTATTTTAGTTTATGGGTATGGATGGTTCTCCTGCATGTATGTCTGCATCATGTGTGTGTTTGGTGCCTGCAGAGGCTCAGAAAGGGCACTGGATCTCCTGACCTGCAGTTAGAGATGACTGTGACTTGTCATGGGATGCTGGGAATCAAACCTACAGCCTTGGGGAAAACAGCTAGTGTTGTTAACTGCTGACGCTTCTCTCCAGCCCGGAAATTGCTATTTTTAAAAAATAAAACGAGAGCATATAGGACTTCACCTTCACCATTTCCTGAAAAAGAGATGCTGCTTCTCTCTTACAGGTAGTGTTAGTCAGGACTTTTTTCCTATGAGTTTACAAATTAAATGTAGTATTTAAATAGAGTCAAGTAAAGCAATTTACAACATAAATGAGGGAACTCGCACTGTAATGATTTATTGTAAAATATACCATCATAAAACTTAATAAGTAGTTGTACAAAGAACAAAGAAATGCCATTGTAAAATCTCCCCAGACAAAAGCTGGCTCAGGGTCAGTATCCTAGGTGCTGGCCAGTGCTTTGGGGAATGTGTCTAAGAGATTCTACTCTCTTTCACTAAAGGGAATAAACGCCGACGCACACAGAGTAATTGAAACAGTCATTTCTAGTTATTTTATTATTTTTATAAAAATTTGGCTTATGTATGAGCAAGTTTTAAAAATTAGAATGAATATCAGCAAGTATTATGCACATGATATTTCTTTGAATGCAATAGATCCTGAAATAATTATCATTAATGTTTGGGAGAATTTCATGTATCTCTAATCCCTGGGAGTGACATACGAGTAGCTTATTTTTTTTGCTATGAATTGGTGTAATAGATAACAACTTGCCCAGTGAAATAGCTCCGATAAGTATTTTGAAAGTAGGCTGCACCAGATATTCTAGTAAAAAAGAATTAGTTCCAGCATGGCTAGTCAAGTCCACCAGGAGAGTGGTCACAAGTTGGTACCTAAGGAGAGTGATGGTTGCTTTATGGATCAGTTCTGTAAGTTGATTAGTGGTGATCCTTGGGGTTTAGAGAGAAAGCATGACCAAACACAAGTGTGTCATTCTGGCTTTGCTAGTAGCATG